TTCAATGTTTTGCTGTACTTTGGATCAAATAAATGCAGGCTTGGTGAGCAGAAGAGACTCCTTTAAAAAAAACATTAAAAACTTACATTTCAAAAACTTTTGATTGGTAGTGTATATGCTATATTGAAGTCAGAGCACCCTCACTAATTTAAGAAGCACCCTCAGCGATCTGAATCTGGAGCTGAGGTCATTTCAGCAGGAATCCAGGCGTTCGAAGATAAACTCACACAGAATGAAACTCGAGAGTCTCCACGCCCCGCCCACTCGAGACGAGTCTCCACGCCCCGCCCACAGCACAACACAACAGAAGAACCCACCCTAAACAACAACAACACTGTCCTCCGGTAGAGAAAGAAGACGTTCAAGACACGGCCTCCCCTGACACTTTCTCTGGACACCAGAAGAGGCTTTACACGTGAGAAGATGCATTCAGGCAACCTTGAGAAAGTGGGTTCGCTGAGGAAACGGACGCTGTCTCGAGGAATGAGCGAAGACGAGTCTCTAAGGCACATTATCAGAGACGTGAGTCAGTCACATCTGCTTTGTCTGACTCGATTTCTGATCTCTGATGGTCGCGTCTGCTGGATTACATTAACATTACCTGCTAGAAAATACAAAGCCTCTATAGCTTGATAATAATAATATTACATAACGCTCGACTCGGGCTGCTCTTCGGGTTTCTCTGACTGTAGCATCAGGATGTGACAGATAATGATGAAAACACACATCTTTAATTAAACAAACCCGAACATTTACGTGATTATTAGTAACAGTTTTACTGTAACTCTTCATAGATAAGGGCGTCGTGTTATTTCAGCAGAGCACACCCTCCGATGATGATGATGCTGAATCTCGCGATGAAACAGGGTGTAAAGATGATTTTAGGATGGTTTTTCTTTCTTCAAACACAGTCGTGATACAACAATAGGATTTATCTGAGCTGTCCATGTTTATCTTCTCGATTTACTGACTTTACTGAAAGCAAATATTAAAATCTTATAGTGTCGTTCTGACCAATGTGATTGTAAAAATCCTGCTTTGCTCAGTGATTTTATTAAGAAAAACTCAAATATTGCTCGCTGACGTCATGGTCAGTTCACAATCACATGATGTTTTATTGTCAGAGATGCTTACAGCAGCTTTTTTCCCTAAATAATGCAATATTGTATAAAAGGTTAGTGATTGTGTGTGTGTTTGTGCGAGCTGTCATTGTGATTTCAGCATCTTTTACAAATCACCTACAGTCCTGAAAGTGTTACCATAAATCATGAATCAGCATTTTTATGGGGTGGTTAGGGGGATTTTTTTAAATATACAAATGTAATGGTTCTTGTTATTTAAAGCAGAGAAACCTGATGATGTCAGAATATGATGTCAGAATTGGTCTCAAAACCAGGTATTAAAAGGATTTAAGGGAATAAAGAAAAAATAATCATGAACTGCATTTTTAAAATGTTATTTTAAGAAGTTTCATGAGCTGCACTTATACTGTTAGTAGGACAGTCACAATTGTGTTAATTTATAAATAAAAGGCTGGTTTCTGACTCCGTTTAAAGGGACGGGTCACTTTTAAGACTGATTGGGTAACTTCTTTGCATAATCAATATAAATTACATGTGGAACTCTCTCTCTCTATATATACACACATAACTGTTTTTAAAAGTTCATAACAGTTTAATTGAAACACCTCTCACAGTTCACTTTTGTCGACTAGCTCAGGTTAATTCACACACTTTCACAGTATTTATAACTCCTGTGATTATGAGGAATGATTGCCTCATATGAGTATGTGTGAGGGACTTTATCTAAATGAAATGCATACAGCGATCTCACTGTTGCTCAGTGCACTTGCAGTGGTTTATATACAACAGCATTCCTGCAGCAGACAGACTGCTCTGAATCATCACGTGATGTTTAGACAGAGAGAGTGAATGTGTGTGAATTCATAGGAGAGGATCGTGAAGTTTTAAGTTCATGCACTGTAAGCAGACACAGGACATGGTTTCAAAAACAAACAATTGAAGACGATTTAAAATCTAGTCACATGACACGTGGGATTTTCTTGAACAAAAGAAATAATTATATTATTATAAAAGAATGCATTTGGAACTATTTGCCTATATTATTATATATGATGCCGTTAAAACACACTTCAAAGTCACACGTTTTACCATGTTTTAGTACAAAATTACATTGTGTGACAAATAATGTAAATGACATGGAAATGCAGTTTGTCACTTAGATTTCTTTGTTGTTGTATACTTCTAATCAATAATGTAATTGTTGCTTTTGTCCTGCAGGCAGAAGAATCGAGCAGACACCTGTCACGCAGCGATAGCAGATATGGATCATTAAAAAGAGGACAAAGACAAGAAAGCCATGTTAGTATTGTGATGATTGCAGCTTAAGCGTTTGCTTTTAGGCAGTGAATTGATAGTGAATTATAGAGCAGAACATCACTCTTCCAGTGTGCTTAGAGGAATAGTTCAGCCAGAAATTAAAATGTGCTCTTCATCAGGCCATCCGAAATCAGGATGAGTTTGTTTCTTCATCAGATTTGGAGAAATGTAGCATTGCATCAGTGTCTCAGCAATGGATGCTCTGCAGTGAATGGGTGCCGTCAGAATGAGAGTCCAAACAGCTGATAAAAACATCACAATAATCCACAGCACTCCAGTCCATCAGTTAACATCTGGAGAAGACAAAAGCTGAAACACATCCAGCATTAATACGTTTTTAACTCAAATACGAGTTCATAATCCATAATAACACTTCCTCCATTGAAAAAGTCATATAGTTTTGGATTATTATTATTATATGTGTTTTTATCAGCTGTTTGGACTCTCATTCTGACGGCACCCATTCACTGCAGAGCATCCATTGCTGAGACACTGATGCAATGCTACATTTCTACAAATCTGTTCCTTTAAGTCTCTCTTACAGAACTATATTTGCTGAACAGGATGTACTAATTAGTTTTAAGATTTTAAATATTGGTTTGTTTTGTATAGCAATGAAAATTTGTCCTTTTTTTTTTTTTAAGAGTGAAGATGATCTACTTTCTGAAAACATAGAAATGGTAAGTTTTTCACCTTTTCTACCAAATTTGATGTTTACTGCTATGAATTACATAAGCTGCTGTTTCATAAAAGTGGCAGTGACATGTGATGCATGCTAAGCTAGGCTCCAGGCAGTAAAGGTCAGTGCTACAGTATAATAAAAGAGTCCTGAAAGTGAGCTGAGACACATGAAGTCTGGAGGGTTTGAGGAGCAGGTGTGGAGGTGCTGAGGGCTGTGACTCACGTAAGGTGAGTCTGAGTGAATCATAAACAGGTGTGTCTCCAGTCTTCGTGTAGATGAGCAAATCATCGTTACACATTTCTCATGCACTGACTCATGAGCCTCTCCTCAAGAGCACATGACTGCTAAAGTGATCAAACCAGACTGAGTTTTTGTCCTGTTCTTCCTGGAGCATTGCTTTGGTTCTCATTAGGTAGATAAACAGATTATAAGAAAGAAAAACAGAAGGATATTATTGAAGGCATAACTTATGTATTTAGGCTACGGTTGTTTTAGCTGGAATGCTGATGGTGCTTAAACACTCTTGCTCGAGTCTCTTTGTAAGTTTGTCGGCATGCTAATTTGAATCCATTTTCATTTGAAAAGTCTAATAAGACTCGTTTCAATCATGAACGACACATCACCGTGCACTGAAAAAAAATTATTAATTGAATTTACAATTTTTTTTTTTAAGGTCAGTGGTTGCAATCAATTTATTTTAGCTACATTTAAATAAACAAATTTAGTTGAGTAACTTTTAACTAAATTTGTTTATTTAAATGTAGCTAAAATAAATTGTTTGCAACCACTGACCTTAAAAAAATGTATTATCATTTTTTTTCAGTGGTTATCGAATATATCAGTTGAGTTAATGGTACAATGTCTGACTCATAATGCACATAATCCTGCAGGAAAAGTCACTGATCAGTCCTTGTTATAAATAAAACACGACAAAATACGACAAAACAGGAACGCCGGGCCGAAGAAAACATAAGCCAGATCCCCGACAAAAACACACAAGAGAAGAGTCCACAGTGAGAAAACGAACACTCACAGCGAAATTCAAAACAGCATTAAAAAGATTATATCTCAGTTTGGAGTAGAAACAGAATTATATCATTAGGAAGCTGAGACGTTTTGTGCAGAGTTTGTTTTGTTCATGTCACATGTTCCTTTATTTTCTGACAATACAGCAGGGGTGTATTCCAGAAAGCAAGGTTAACTTACCATCTGCTAAACCCTGAACTCTTGGTTGATTAACCCAAACCTTGCTTACTCGAGGTATGTTGGTTTCAAAAACGCATCCGGGAGCAAGTTCATTTAGCCCAGAGCACGTTCCTGGTTAACACACACGACTTTCTCAAAAGAGCGACGAATCGACGAGTCACTATGGAAACGGATGCTAAGAAAAAGTGCGCCATACTACTTTCTGCGCCTTTCTTCTTCTTCTGTTCAGAGGACATTTGCATACTTGGTTCATATCGCCACCTAACTGGTGGTTGTGCAGTCATATTTCTTTTTTTTTCCGTTTAATCTTTAATCTTTGAGAATAAGAATTATATTGTTGGTTTGATGCTAATTATATAAGTCTTATCAGATATGTATTTGTATATAAATACATTATAGAAAATGCCGACCCATGATGTGTGAGATGATAATATAAAATGAAATAAATATATAATATAATAAATAAAAAATTACCTTGTTATAATAGCGTTTTATAATTTGTGACCCTGGAGCACAAAAGCAGGCGCTGGGGGATATTTGTAGCAATAGCCAACAATACATTGTATGGGTCACAATTATTGATTTTTCTTTTATGCCAAAGATGATTAGGATATTAAGTAAAGATCATGTTCCATGAAGATATTTTGTAAATTTCTTACCATAAATATATCAAAACTTAATTTTTGATCAGTAATATGCATTGCTAAGAACTTAATTTGGACAACTTTAAAGATGATTTTCTCAGTATTTTGATTTTTTTGCACCCTCAGATTCCAGATTTTCAAATAGTTGTATCTCAGCCAAATGTTGTCCGATCCTAACAAACCATACATCAATGGAAAGCTTATTTACTCAGAAAATCTCAATTTCAAAAACTTGACCCTTATGACTGGTTTTGTGCTCCAGGGTCACATTTATACAGATAACTCGCTGAAGTGAACTAACCCTGAAACAGAAGCTACTCCGGAGCAGGTTATGTTCAGAGAATAAGTTGCTCTGGCTACTTACATACCCTAAAAGTTACCTCCGTTTTTGGAACCTCATGCTGAGTTTATCTGCTTACTTACCCTTAAACATAACCGGGAATGTCACATAACCTGCTTTCTGGAATACCCCCCAGGTATTGTCTTATAGACCTACTGCCAATGTTAACTGATACTACCCACGAACTGATGGTCTAAAAATTAAATTCATGTTGTTAAAGCATCTACCTAATGTGACATGTTTTTGTATATTTGTAAAACCTTGATTTGTAAAGGTGAATGCATTATATGGTGATAAGAAAATATTAAGAACCTATAAATATTTTATAATTTGATATAATTTCTTACTCTATAAAAAAGGCTATTGCTATGATTAAAGAACTTGCCAGAGTTTCAAGGTCTGTGACAATAAATCTCCTAAAGATATTTGATGCATAGCCTATTGCTCATCCCTAAACGTCTCGTAAAATGAGGTGTGTGTGATGGTTTAACATGGCAGCTTCTTCATATCTGAATGGACTGCTCTTGTCCAGAATAAACTGAAATATGCTGCAGCTTTAATAGGAACTTTGGCTCATGATACTAACATTGTTTGTCTGATGAGAATGAGAGGTCAGACTGTTGTGGAGAGCATGTTTTACACACACTATCAAGTAAAACATATGTAGAAATATGTTATATCACCTTAGAAATGTCACCTTGATGTTTTAGTGATAAAAAAAATACATGGATTGTGAAAAGCACTATAAATAAATACTGGATGTAGCTTTAAATGTAAAAGTGCTCTATGCAGGATTTTTGGTTACTGTCTGTAAACACAGCATTCAAACTTAGCCCCTCCTTGTGGGCGGGCACAACACTACCAGAAGCCACGCCCCTTGTCAGCTGACAGAACGCACACAGCCAAGTATCACATGAGACAGCGGCCCAAGAGCAGGACAATTGAGTGATCAGCTGTTTGTGCATATATATATAATATACATTTTTTTTCAAATATTGTTAATCATGCATAAATGGCATTTTTTGTGTGTATATGAGCAAGCAGTTACGCTAATAATTAGATGACTGGCTGTAATTTTCTGAACGAGTGTAGCCATCTTCAGTTTAGCTTGCTAATAAACCAGAAAATACAGCCAGTGTCTCTGTGGACACCAACACACTTCTGCTGGATCATGTATTGATGTGATGTATCCATGATTGAGAGGGATTATTTTTGTACGAGTCTATACTTTGTTTTTGGGAAAATCCTGTATAGTGCACCTTTAACAAATGAAAATAGTAAATTAAACTGTTGTAGGATTGATAGATATTTGTCAATAAAATAGAAAGGTGCAATAACCAGACTCTCTTTTCAAGGTGAAGGAATAATGTGGCATTGAGTATGACGGGGCGGCGCAGCCTCAGTCCATTTCAGTAATATTGCTTGCCATGTTAACTTGGAAGTCAAAATGAGAACTGATGCAGATAACCGTTGCTCAATATTGCATGGTCGTAACATGCAGTTTTGGTGAAACAGGGTCCGAAATGTTTTGTGATCGGATCAGTGAAACCATTGTACCAAAATACACACCAGTTATGTTTAAAATCCCAGCTGCCCTGTTCTTTCATTTGCCTCCTCTCCTGTTTGCTCATAAGCTGCTTGTCATGGCCATTTGACTGAATGTGTATACGACACTTGGCCTCTTGTGAAAGTGACAGCATAACATGACTCAAAGAATGACGAAATTCACAAGCGGTCACAGAAGACACTCTTGACGCTGGTTTTAATAGCAGACAGAGCGGTCGATGGAGATCCTCCTCAGACACCCTTAATATGCTGAAGCCTTCAGAGAGTCAAACTCGTGTCTTTTCTGACCTACAGGACTCTAAAGAAAGTCAGATCTGGACCAATTTGTTCTTTTAGCTGTTTAAAAGAATGGGTCTTTTAACGGACGGACGGACGGACAGACAGATAGATATTCAGACAGACAGACAGACAGACAGACAGATAGATAGATAGACAGATAGACAGACAGACAGACAGATAGATAGATAGATGTCGATAAAATGTCTCTAGCATGTTTTATGTTGCTAACATTTTTATGGCATGATTAGCATGTTTTTAGCACACTGTTAGCATGTTGATAGCATGTTTCTAGCATGATTAGCCTGTTGTTAGCATGTCTCTAGCATGATTAGCATGCTGTTAGCATGTTTTAGCATGATCAGCATGTTACTACTATGTGGCTATCAGGATTAGCATGTTGCTAGCATATTTCTAATGTGATTAGCTTGTTGTTAAAATATCCTGACTCTACCTTACAAACTCTCCTTTATGAAAATGAACCATGGTTTTATGAAAGTAAAAGCAGCCATGTTTTTTTTGGCGTATTGATTACATTTGTATAACCACAGTTTTACCTCAAATACCATGGTTAAACTATGGTTAGTGCTGCAAAACCATGATTACTTTGTGGTTACCATGGTTTTTTGGTTTTATTTGTAATAGAACCATGGTTAATTTTCGTAAGGGCTGAGACGTTCTGAGCATCTCTGCTGCCAGTGCTTGTTTTGAGGGTGTTTTGTTCCCCTGTGCAGATGGAGCTGAGAGCGAGCTACGAGGGTTGTCTGCAGGAGGTGCGGACCCTGGAGCTGCAGCAGGAGGCTCTTCTGTTCCAGGTGGACTGTCTTCAGGACACCCTCGAGGGCACAGAGGAGATGCTCGCTGAGACCCAGAGAGACAATCACAATCTCACAATGGTACTGTAGAGATGTGTGAGACCGATGTAAACGATAGAGGTCTGTTTCAGACCTAAGCGGGAAAACTTTTGTAAAAGATTACTTTTGACTGAGTAATGGAATCATTGCATGGACTTCACGTCCTTCTGTTTGACTCACTGTGATTTTGACCGCAGGAGCTGGAGCGAGAACGAGAGATGAGGAGGAAGTCGGAGGACATGCTTGCCTCATTAAAGCGGGAGCTGGAGAGGTTAAGAGAGGTGAGGAAAGACTAAGCTTGCGTAATCACATTTAGAAACGAACAGAAACTATAGCGTAAAGCCAAAGGAGAGACAGGCTTTCTGTGTGCTTACGTAACCGTATTTGGAGAACCTTGCCATTTATCATAAAACATGTTGAAAATGTGCCTGGACATGTTCTGGTGTATGAAAGAGGCTTGAGCTTCTGGAGGATGTGTTTTTACGAGTGCTCAGTTGTAAGTAAGGGATAATGAAGTCAGTTTAAACCCCAACGAAGGTGATAAATGTGGAGTGGAAGGGTCTTGGATCAACCTAAAAGGTTTATTTTTTTCCAAATAAACAAATAAATGGACATGAGATGTACAGTACTTGCAAAAGTCTTGGAGACGTTGTTCTCCACAGTTCTTCTGGATTGAGTCTGTCTCAGTTTGTTCTGTTTCTTCATGTGACTCCAGACAGACTGATGATGATCAGATCAGATCAGATCTCTGTGTGCAGCACAAAAATCTCACTGGATTATTACAATTAATGGTAAAATGAATGTTTGGAAATGTAAACTGATATTTCCTACTGACACACTACAGCAAAAGATGGAAATAACTTAAAACCATTTTTAGCTGCTGAAAATACTAGTGTTCTAAGGCTTTTGCACAGTACTGTAGATTTCAGTTGCAATTATTCTATTATGTGAGCAAAATAAAGTGTAGAGTGATACGCTAGAAAGTACTGTATTGTCTCCTACACCCACAAGAGGGCACAGTGAGCAAATATAAACCAAATAAAGTGGCCCACTTTTATTTAAAACAGTGAAATGACATGACTTTGTTCAAAGTGCATGATGTTTTAAACAGATAAGTGGAGGTGCATCAGTAATATGAGAAGACAAGCGCTTTAACAGACAGTGTAATGCATAATGTTGACACAGAACAGCAGACTGTCATTCTGAAAGCAGGTTAGCAGGTTAACTGTTAACCCCACTAGTCAAACAGACTGTGCAGTGCAAACAGTGCACTGTGAAATAATGTTGTGTAGCTGGGTACAGCTAAATGCTTAGCAACAGACTACCAATCGTGTGCCTCAAATAAGTTTACACAATGTGCAAAATGCAAGATTTAATGTTAAATATTTTCCAAAGGTTAGAACTCAGGGTCTGCACTCAGTCACACACACCTTTGTGCTATTCCTGTTATACAGTATTTTAGAGTAAAGGATGCAACAATACAGTTAGCCCACGGTTCAATAAATACCTCAGTTTTTAACCACGGTTTTCAGTTTGGTTCTGATGGCTTGGCACATCAGAGTATTTTGTGCGATCTGTGATTTAAAATTCTATTTAAAAAAAACTAATCAGTTCACTTCAATTAAAACTTATAGTAAACTTCTGTACACTGTAGAAAAACATGGATTATCATATGTCATATCATATTATCAATTTTCTTTTGAGAGAAGTATTATTTTTATGGACTTGCCATTATTTAGTGCTATAAACACATGTAATGTCTGTTTCATTCATACTGGAAGCCGGAGGGCGCACTTGTGCAGAAAATCCACATATGCATCACAGAAGTACTAGAACTGATGACGCTCCAGGAAATCCCTTATATGGAAAAAGGCATTGCTGTAGCTGAACAAAAAGAATATAGAAACGCTTAAACTGATCAAACATAAAGACAATAAACACTCGACTGCAACAATGTATAGTTTATCAGTGTTCTTAAAACTTCCTCTGGTATTTTAATAATAAGTAGGATTTATGATCCATTGCTAATTGACATAGCCTTTATTACAGTGTAGGATATATGTCTGTGTCATTCTGTGATAAGAAGCCACATCAGATCACAAAAGTTAGTTTTTTCAACACTTGACTGTTGTTGTGGTATAAAAACATGTTATAATGTTTTCTTTTGTTGGACAGCAGGTTTAGAAACCCGTGTCATTTTAAGTCATCTCAAGGGAAGATGTTTGGCGTGTGTTGCTTTGTCAAATGCTCATTATAGCGGGGAGGCGTTTCCTCATCTCAGCACGCAGACTCACGGACAAACAAACAGCCGGTTTGGAGAGAAATAAAATGCATGGAAATTATTTAAACGCAATACTGGAAAAAATAATGCTCTAATTGGTCGAACTCTTCATCTTTTTCTGTTGCTTGATTTGAGTACTGAGTGTGGACAGAGGCGTCACCAGGTTTGTGCGTAGTTTAAAGTGACAAATCGTGACAAACCAGCGTACTTTGAGGTCAAAATGCGTATCCGCTACGCAAAATGCATACAGGTTGACAGGTCTGAGAATATAGTTAAAATTCCCCAATTAAAAAAGAAAATTCCTCAACGCATCTACTTAAGCAAACATTAGCTATGTTTCCATCCACCTATTTTTATGCGCATTTTGGACTATCGCATTATAAAAAAAAACGCTGGATGAAAATGCGGAGATGTGCATAAATTCTAAAAATGCGCATAAAAAAACTTATGCACACATTTGAGTAGGATAAACTTTTTATCCGGTAAGAAAAAATGCGCATCAACTACGATGGAAATACATTTACCGAATAAATTCCTCCATGCGCATCGAAAAAGTAATGTGACTTTGCACTATGAGACGAGATAACTTGAGTAGCCGCGAACCGATCTCGTTCACAGCATCTATATGTTGTTATGGTTGTTCTGAAATGCCTGAGCAAAGTCTGTCGTCAAAGTATTTCTGTATAATTGTCTTACACGACTGCATTCACAAACAGCTGGCATCTACCTCCGAAAGCATTGACAGCATTTATTGTGTTTCGTCTGCTCGCGCTGAGGCGCAAGTAATTTATCATATATGAAAATTAATATATTCAGTGGCTTCTCCTAGTTTTCTCCTAGTGATATTTAGTGCCAGTTTACCAGGAAGTGACGATTTTGTTCTCTTTGACTCGTTGGATGGAAACGGTGCTTTATTCGCAAATGCTTTATGCGATATTCCAGTTTTGTGCATAAGTTTAATTCGAATCTTTGGATGGAAACATTTCAAATAAGTTAAAACTATAATTTCGCCAAGACCAAATTCTACGAAACAGAAACAGATTAATTCATTGCTTAGAGTCTGTTAGTTCACTTCACGAGTCTTGGGGTCACGTCACATCCTTATAGGTTAAAGCTATTTATTCCTACCTTTATAGTCCACCAAAAAAAGTCCACTTTTCAAGTGAACAATGCAGCAGTGCCGCATCTAATGAACTGAACTAACAAAAACACACTGTGTCAGCTGCGTCGTCATCACATCCAGCTCCTCGTGACACGCCTAAAATTCAAATGCAGAGGTTTTTGCATTTACATCTGCAATTTCTTTTTAATTCAGTGACTTGCGTAATTCAGATTTTAATTTGACAGCTCTAATAATAACCGGCTGTTCTGAATCCTGTGAAGTGATCAGCACATATAAAAAAATTACCGTGAATTTAACCGTAAAAGACTGTAAAAAATGCTACAATAAAAACCTGTTAAACAGTAAATTCCCCTACTATATACGGTGAAAAACTGTATTGGACATTACATGTAGTTTTACGGTAGTATACCGTTTTTGGAAGTGAAAAAGATTGACCGTAAATTGACATTCCCAGAATTCCCTGCGTTACATTTCAAATTTGATGTTTTTTTGTTGTTGAAATAACTATGTTTCTTCTTAATTTTTTCTTATCAGTTGTGTACATTAGGGTTGTATGTTACATCTAATGTTGTTCAATTAATGTTTATTGCATTATTTAGTTTCATGTGTGTTACCATGATGGTGTTTAGTGTTTGCGTGAATGACACTGTGCACCTTCTATATAATGTTAATATTTAAAAGCTGCTTGTGATAGGCCTTGGTTCATCATCTCATCACCACCTGCTTTTGGTGCGCAGTGTATTACAAAGGTACAAAACGGATTTCAGTACTTCAGTGGGTTGGTTATTAACATTATATCAGTTAATGAAATTACGGTATTTAACTGTAAATTTAAGTTACAACCGTAAAACCTAAAACGCTGCTACCCTAATTTTTACGGTAAACTTCTGGCAACGACAGCTGCTGGTTTTTTACCGTAAAATTTACGGAATTGTTTTGACCGTGTACAGTTGAAAACGAGCACACGAACAGCATGTTTGACAAGTCACTGTTGATTTCTAGGTGTCAAGATTGTTTTGTGTTCCTCTGCAGGAAAGAAGCAGCGAGCCGCTTCAGTCGAGGCCGGCGGGGCCCGTCTGGTTCCAGGCCACTCCGGAGGGGACGTCAGTGGACCGAGACGAACAGACGCTCGCACACAGCGAAGGCACCTCCGTGGATCTGAACGTGAGCCAGCTGTTACAGCTGAAGAAAGCGGTCAGCCAGACACTGAGTCCATCAGTGTTTCACAGTCAGAAGCCTGGTGCTCAGGGTGGAGATGATAACGACGAAAGCAGCGGCTATGAAGACGCTCCGTCCGAGTTCTCGCCGAGTCCGTCCACTCCAGACACGCAGCCGGATGGAGCTCTGCAGGACAGCGAGGCTGAAGAGGGAGGAGGTGGCATGAGTGACTCCGAGTCCGGCCTCTCTAAAAGTTCCGATTCTTGTGCTCTCTCTTAAATTATTCTAGTGTTGTAAAACGATTAATCGCGATTAATCGCATCCAAAATAAAAGTTTTTGTTTACATAATATATATGTGTGTATTGTGTATATATATATATATATATATATTATTTATATTCTAATACACACATATGCATGTATTACATGTATTTACATGTATACATTTATATTCATATCATTTATATTATATAAATATATTTAATAAACATAACATATTTTTCTGAAATATATACATGCATGTGTGTATTTATATATGCATAATAAATATACACAGCACACACACACACACACACACTTATTATGTAAAGTAAACTTTATTTACTTTATAAAATTGTATTTCCCGATTAATCGTTTGACAGCAGAAAATTATTCATAAAAGTGCTGATGAACCTAGATTCATTCACTTGATCCAAGTTACCTTTACTTAAACAGCCTTTGCACAAACGTTAGAATGAAGACTACTTAGTTATACTCATCAGTCAAAGTTATTTAGGAAAAGAAGGAATCTGCACTTTGTTTGTGCTGGACTTTTTAGGCACACGAGACACTTCACAAAAACATTGCTTTAGGGTATCTTTTTCATTAGTGTGCCAGCAGGAAATATCTTTTCCTGCATTTTACATAAATTTTACATTTCCAAATATTCCTTCTGCAAATAATAATAATCTAATGGGATTTTTGTATGAACAAGGAGATTCCTGGAACAGTTTGTCTGCAAACTCCCTTAAAACTCTGCAGTACCTTGCAGTACGTAGGAAAAAGCTGTTTAAGGTGGTGAACCTAATATTAATATTGATTTAATCTACTTAAGTTAAAGCAGCTGCATGTAGTTTTGTGTGTTTTTGCGACTTTGGAGCTCCCCACAGTTAATGCCGAGTTCACACTGCACGATTTTAGCCCGATTTTTCACTCGCCGACAGGTTTTGTGAAATCGCAGACAGATGCCCGAAATCGGAGGCAAATCGGTGCTCGTTCACGCGAGTGGCAATCACACCATGTGAATTATCGAAGACGCGATCTGAGGGAATCGCTGACGCCCGTGAAATATTTGGCATGCTAAATATCTGGAGCTGTCGGCGATTCACAATCACGCTGTGTGCAATGATTTCTGACTGAAAAACAGATCAGCGATGACCTACAGCCAATGAAAGACCAAGATACAGGGCAGCGGGAAGTTCGGGGAGGAGTTATATACGTTATATGTAATGTAGTTTGCGGACCAGTGTTGCCAAATCTGCGATTGCCGCCGGTTGTTTTTTATGTCAGCAGGTTGAAGCGACCCCAATAACGTGATATTTAGGCCCTGGAATGTGAATTGTACCAGGAGAACCCCGCCAAAAAAATTTGTATTTTACCCCCCGAACGCGATTTTTACTGGGGGACCCCCTCGAAAGCAATTGGGTTATTTTCAGGCTAGTTTTGAGTAGTAATTGGGCGGGTTTTGTAGCGAAAACCTGGCAACCCTGCACCAGACAGAGCTGTCGGCGATTCTTCCTATTGTGAAGTCATGCAGTGTGTAACCTCCTGTCGTCGTTCCATCGTGCAGTGTGAACACAGCAGCAACTGAATGCTACCCCAGATAGTCGTTCAGTGTGAAACCAACGGCGATCCGACGAGTTTGAAAATCGTGCAGTGTGAACACAGCAGCAACTGAATGCTACCCCAGATAGTCGTTCAGTGTGAAACCAACGGCGATCCGACGAGTTTGAAAATCGTGCAGTGTGAACTCGGCATAAGTGAGTGAAATCCACTGTCGTTATTACAGTGATACAGTAGCTGTACACGTGCATTTGTTGCCGTTTTGTTTGTGGGATTTCGTACCCGCTCACCAAACTCACACACTCCCAGAACAGACGTTTGCGAAAGAAACAGAAGCCATTCGCCTGATTATAAATCGGTGTACCAACAGACTGATTTCGAAACTGATATTTCAAGGTATAAGTACACAAGTGCTAAGAAGACAACACAGTTTGCCTGTGGATTTAGGTTTTAGTCTCTTCTTGGTGAGATCTGCCGTCGGTCGCATAAAAGGTTTCGTCTTACAAGTTAGTCATCTAATTTTTTCTTTACGACTGGTCATATTTATTTTTTTATTCGGTTTCGTAGTTTATGCAACTGGCCCCTGATCAGTGTGTGGCTCAAACCATCTGTTCATCATATGGACTCTTGTTCATATGAAAAAAAATTAATAAATACTTGTACTAGTTGATTTTAATACTTTACAGAGTTATTATGTGCAAGAAAGGGATGTTTTTGTTGAAGTTGTATTTTTTATATTGATGTTTTAAAAAAAAAATGTACATTCAGTAACACGATTAGATTTATAAATCTTATGCTTTAGATTCTTAATTTTGTAGAAGTGCTCAAAGCTTTTATGAGACAAATTCTAAACCAGAAAAATTCTTATTATGGCAAAGGTTTTAAAACATTTTTCTAATTAAAAAAAATATGACGATCAGTTGTGCTGTTAAGATCGCAATGATGAATCATAAAGTTTTTTTTTTGTAGTTTTTCCCCACGAGATCGTGTTTCTCAGGGAATTTCTAAAACTTACTCATTCCTTACTAATAATGTAACTATGTATCCTAAAGCGCTGGTTCTGACTTCCAGACAATCCAACACAAGATGTCTTTACTACTAAGATAAGTAGTTTTTATATTTGAACTCATTCGCCTATGAAATGCATGATTCATTGAAATGCTGGAGCTGGTAAAAGAAGACAGTGGGGTTCATTAAAAAATAAAATAAAATCTGATTTGTGAAATGGGCCCAATGTTTGCTTGTGTGTTTTTTTTTAAATAAACATCTTATGCTCAAAATGGATGTCATTTTTAATTGTTTATAATGGTAACACCTGTGTGTTCAACTGAATAATGCAATTAGTTGAGAAGCTTTATGGCAACATATAATACTAACTTATGAATCTGATGAACTAGGGTGTGCTGTTCCCATGATGCTCTATTTTTATCCAAAATGTTTAAAGCATTGTATCAATATCAAACTTGGCATTAGCATGTCATAGCCCAATAAAATATGGTATTGCGTGTTTTCCACACGTGTAGCTGTATGTCTTTGTGTGCTCTTTCAGTCACAGGCGTGTTGATGAGCAGTGTGTACAGGTGCATCTCAATAAATTTGAATGTGGAAACCTTTGCAGGTGTTTTGAGTTGATTAGCTGATTGGCATGTCACCATATTCTAATTTGTTGAGATAGTGAATTGGTGGGTTTTTGTTAAATGTGAGCCAAAATCATCACAATTAAAAGAACCAAAGACTTAAACTACTTCAGTCTGTGTGCATTGAATTTATTTAATACACGAGTTTCACAATTTTAGTTGAATTACTGAAATAAATGAACTTTTCCACGACATTCTAATTTATTGAGATGCACCTGTAAGTACAGCAGCAGGTTGTGTTGATGTATCGGGTGATTGTGTTCTTACACCCACACTTCTACTGCACACACCCTATTTCTACAGGCCCAGTCGTACTTCAGAGATTTTTATTCAGTTATGATATCTGTTTTTATTCTTGTTTTGTCATTCCAACATTGCAAGTTTAGTTTCAGTTCTCTCTTTAATTGTTGTTTCAGTTTTTTCTTAAGTTTAACTGTAGTTTTCCCTATATTTTTAGCTTTAGTTGTAAGGATGCCAAAATTAACATTATTAATCTCGGCATGATCTGATTGGCTCTTTGATGTAATCTGCACCCAATGAGCTGCATGCTTCCTCTGGCTCCAGCATTTGAATGCCTTGCCTTATGTTGGCTGTAAGCTGGTCTCACTGTGTTTATTTTCCTCAACTGTAACTTGTCAGGATGACCTCTGTAATGTATTGCATTAGGGAGGGATGGGCAAGATGAAGCCTTACTAAGATTTGAGGCTTTATCCTGGGAGGTGCTGGCTAATGATTTGAATCTTTGATACACTGCCAGTTGACGTCATTTTGTGGTGGACATTAAAATGTAATGACCACAGAAGCGCTGGCAGAACGGTGCATCACCTCATCAACACACGAAATGTTCCATTTTGATCCTCTGTTCATGTTTTTTTTAAGCTACATAAGTGTATATAATGTTTGTAAATCAATATGCGAAATAAAATATTTTGATTGTTTCAAACTGTTATCAGTGATCTTAAAGGAATAGTTTACTCAAAAATGAAAATCAGCTGAACATGCTCAGCCTCAGGCCGTCCCAGATGTAGATGAGTTTGTTTCTTCATCAGATTTGGAGAAATGTATCATTCCATCACTTGCTCAGCAATGGATCCTCTGCAGTGAATGGGTGCCGTCAGAATTAGTATTTTACAAACACGCAGCTTTTGTCTTCTCCAGATGTTAACTGATGGACTGGAGTGGTGTGGATTATTGTGATGTTTTTATCAGCTGTTTGGACTCTCATTCTGACGGCACCCATTCACTGCAGAGCATCCATTGCCATGACTATGCTGCAAAGATGGAAGATTAAACAAATTTTTAGTTACTTTTTTAAGGAAAGTAATGTTACGTTATTTTTTAGTTACTTTTTCTGACCTGGTCTGGGCTTGCTTGTTTGTTTGTAATATACATATATGTATATATATATATATAAAAGTTTTTTGGCTATTTTTGGAAAATGTAAAGTGCTTTGTCACCAAAAGTGAAATGAATACGCCTCAGGCTGAAGGAAATGCAAATTCACATCTGTACAGTAGAGGGCGCAGCTCAAACAAACCTTTCAGCTGTGCTGACATTTTGGATTACATGAAGAATAAGTTGCAAGAGAAAAAAGTTCAAACATTCTGAATGAATAAATGTTTATCTAAAGTCATTTTTGCTTATTCGTATAGTTGAACTGGATCATTGAAGGTCAGCAGCAAAGACAGTGATTAATAAAATGGGATTAAATACATGAAGAATATTTGTGTTATTTAACATTTAATTATTGCAGGTTTGCATCATATTCTGAGTTTGCATTTCACTGTTTTGATTCAATTTGAAGAATACTGAATCTGTTTTTGTTTGTGTGCAGGTGAGATGAGTAAACACATGTTCATATTTAGTCTAGAACTACAGTAACATCATGTTCACACAACGCTCTGCACTTACTCCTGATTTCTGTCACCGTGGCAACACCGGAGCTGTCAGTCAATACATGGAAACAAAGTAACTGGTGTTACTTATTTGAAAAAGCAACTCAGATATTTTCTTGTAAATGAACTAGTTACTTGGAAAAAAGGAACTCTGATTACTTAACTCGTGTTGCTTGTAATGTGTCACCCCCAACACTGCTCACAACATCTCATGACAAGTCATTTCAGCAATGCTAGAGAAAAAGCACTGTAGTGAACAAAACAGCAGTTTGTACTGCAGACCCAGTGAAATGACATTCTGCACATGGCTTGAATGACAATGAATCAAACTGGACCTAAGATTTTACAGCACACCAGAGCCACTCTGTAAGTATAAGAGTGATACAGTCCATATATTGTTGCATTGGAGGGAGTACAACTCTGAAAACACCTGATGAACCTGCTCCATGACTGCTTATGATCGCTTTTCTTGTCTTTTGAATATCTCTCTTTGTTTACATTGCTCATTTGCCTTGACTGTATTAAAGTCTTATCCTGATTGGTTGTTGAGCTCAGCATCGAGTGAGAGCAGGCAAATACAACCAAATGAAGTATTTGTAAAATCGGTGCAAAAGACCTGGACAAAAAAGGGCATATTTTGCTCTGTGCCTTGTTAGCATCAGAGACAATCCTGGACTTGTTCACTTGTCTCTGGCTGGACTTACACATCAGCCTTTATCCGTCCGAGGAGAATCATCTCTAAAGCTCTTCGAAATCACTGTTTGGACTTCAAGGTAACACTTTTGTTTTGTTCCAATTAAAGCTGCTTTAACAGTTAATAAAACTACTTTACATTTATCTAAAGGTAATAAAACCTGTAAAATAATGGCAATTACGTATTAAACATGAAAGGAGCGTAATATAATGATGCTGAGTTAAGGCTAATAACCCAGTGTACCCTTTTCTCTCTTGGTTTTTAGTCTGGTGCGCACCGCTGAATCATGCAGCACACATTCAGAGCCATCACACACTCTCCAGGGATACTCATCTGGAGGATCGAGGTAGGTTTGAAAGAAGAAGCTGATGGTGGAACACATTATTAAAGTCTGTTGAAGAAACACATGATTGAAATGCTTTCTATAAAACATGAAATATGAGAGGTGCGTGTCTGATGAGCTGCTGTCCCGTTTCACTTTGGTTCACTGATAGGAGCATCTATTGATCCAAGTATTTTGGACATTCCATGTAATATACAAGAATATAAGCCAACTACTGCATCAATGATTGGATGTATCGTATGCAAAACATGCAAATGTTAGTGTGAAGATGTTTCAAAGTAATTACATTGGACCTCTTTTGGTGCTTGATTTGCTTGATTGGTTTGATATTTTAATGTTTTAATAGGGTTATCAATAAAAAAAATGTGAGAAATTGCAATTGATAACATTTAAAAAACTAACTGAAAAAAATGTAAATTGCAATTAATCACACAACTTTGTTAACACATTCAACTATAAGAAAACTAAAGAACAGACCTTTGTGAAATGATCAGATTTGATTTGAGTTGTGTGGATGGCACTTATCGTGTAAATTCTGTGAAAGGGACTGTCTGTGTCTCATGAGTCATAGGACTACAAACCACGGCCAAAGTTACGCAGAAAAAAAAAGTAGTCATTGATATATACAGCAACTGAAACAATCTGGGCTGCATTTCTCAAAAGCGTCATGAGGTAAGTTGATTGTAGAGACCGTTGATGGCAACTAGGCTTACGATGCTTCTGGGAAATGCAGCCTTGTACATGATGTATTTGTTTTATGTTTTAGAAACAAAATGTTTGCATGGCCAAATAATACTGCTATCAAATCTTAACAAGTATGAAAACAGCTATTAGTTAAATATACGATAAATTATCCAATCAAATATGAGCCTATCCTAACTGTATGCCCTGCAATAAAAATAACTGTAGAAATTCATGATTTCTATTCTGTTCTATTCTATTCTATTCCGGTTGCAGCATTGCAAGGTCTCCTTTCCAAAAGAACGGCTAATGACATTCTTTTTTTTTTTTTTTATCAAGAAAGTACATTATGCTAATAAGCTTTGAAAATAACAATACAATCAAATCAGTCATTGCAGAGTTACAGACTGACAGTGATTTTACAGTGCTGGTTGCTGCAGCATGCAAAAACCGTGTACAGTACTACTGTAAACGGCCATTTGCTGTGTATAACAGAGGAGCAACATGAGGATATAACACCAAACACAGAAGCTTCTCTGCTTCCATCGTGAAGTGCAGTATATACAGCTGGACTGTACAGCAGTGATTGCTGGGGAGTAACACTTGTACTGTACAGGTCATTTGGTCAAGTTTTTAAACAAAGATTTTGGACAGGCTGTCAAGCTGTTTTCAAAGAAATGTCACACTTTCACACTTTTCCTTCTTCTTCCAGAAAATGGATCTTGTTTTGGTGCCAGAAAAATTTCATGGACAGTTTTATGAAAGTGACTGCTATTTATTGCTCTCAGTAAGTGAGAAAAACCTTTCCATGCTACTATGTTCTGTTGTGAAAAGATGAAATTGCATGTGGGTTCTGTCAGCTCTGTTGAGTGGCAGAGCTCTGTCTTTTCTTTGTCTCCCTGACCACCAGATCCTCAGCGGCTCAACCCTCCCTTCCCTCCCTGGTCTTCCACCTGGGTTCTGGATCCTACAGAGCTGCCCTCGGCCTTCCCTCTTGTTGTTTCTTTAGTGAGGGTATCCTGGCCACTGTCTGTCCTGTGTTGTCTTGTGATGTTTCTGTCTTTTTCAGTGTTTGGCCACGTGCTCTCTGTTTCACATCACATGTTGCACTCTCTCTGTTCTCCATCCTAATTGTCCTCTCTGTGTAATCTCCCTGTATTCTCTGTTGATTGTGGATGTTTCTCTGAGGTGTTGCCATGCCGTGTGAGCTTGGACAGTTTTTCCCCCTCAGGGCGGTTTGTGTTGTCTTTTGTTTTATTTTTTTAATTCTAATAACAAGCCCATTGTCCTCGCCTCACCCCTTCAGCCTAACCTAACAGTTTCTTGTTAGACAACTATTGGTGCATACACTCTAAAAAATGCTGGGTTAAAAAGGGAAAAACCCAGCTATTGGGTTGTTTTGTATTGTGGTTGAGTTGTTTTGACCCAGCTATTGGGTTGTTTTGACCCAGCGGTTGAGTTGTTTTGACCCAGCTATTGGGTTGTTTTGACCCAGCGGTTGAGTTGTTTTGACCCAGCTATTGGGTTGCAACCGCTGGGTCAAAACAACCCAATAGCTGGATTTGTCCCTTTTTAACCCAGCGCCCGGTTATATTTAACCCAGCATTTTTTAAAGTGTAGACATCATATAACCAAGCCTCATGTTTTACATGCTACTGTATGTCTTTCATCCATATGCAGACACGCAAAGCTGGCAAATCTGCATACTATGACGTTCATTACTGGATAGGCTCTGTGTCGACACTGGATGAACAGGGAGCTGCTGCTGTCTATGCCATTCAGCTGGATGAGTTCCTGGGCTCCTCGCCTGTCCAGCATCGCGAGGTGCAGCACCACGAGTCCAGCATCTTCTGCGGATATTTCAAACAGGGCATAATGTAAGCATCTGAAAACTGCAGTCCACACCTCACCAGGCATTTGGTCAAGTAAAGTTGTTTCTTTGATTAGTTTCAAAGCATTGCTTTTCCAAAAAAAAAAATGTCTCGGCTCTAATTATAATTGTGCAAAATAATTGATAAAACTTGTGCAAGTTAGACAAAAAAATACCAACAACAGTGGATGTAACCTAATCAAATTGCAAAACAACAAACATAATGGGTTGACATGACAAAATATAAATACATTAAAAATACTTCTACAAGTGGCTAAATGTAATAATAATTTCTAGGTGTTACCCAACTGAAAGTTGTGATTTTAGTTCTTTTTACAGACCCCCTATAATTGTTTAACTAAACCATTACTCAGCACTAGCTTTGCACCGGCTGTTAAATTGCCATTGGTTCATGAGAACTTCATAATAGGTGCAATATTTTAGTTTAATTTCTTCACACAGTCCATCAAGGTCAGACACAAGTAAAAGCATGATGTAACGAACGAGAGCGTGACAACAGAGATTCAAGTGCAAGCTTTTATTAAATTAGTGCGTAATCCAAACAGGCAGGTTCCAACACCAGCAAACAGTAATATCCAGGGCAAAACAGAAGAGTAATCCAAAACAAGCGATGGTCAGGGCAGGCAGCAAGCAATCACAATAAACAGAGAAACAGTCCAAGGTCAAAAACAAGGCAAGACAATGGCAATGGAAAGAAAAGCTCAGTAATGTCTGCTAGCAGTGAAACAAGACTTTGCGATGTGAGTCCTCCTGATTGGAACCAGCTGTGTATGCAATCAGTTCCTAGGCATGGGGTGTTATGGGAAATGGAGTTTGTGAGACAATGGTAAAGGTTCGGGATGGAGTGCCCTCTGGAGGAGCTTGTGGGCACTCCAGCTGGACATCTTGACACATGAACACACACTGGAGTGCAGAACTGGTGCAAACATATCCATATCTCTATAATCAGATGCTTTTTTAACCTCTCTGTTCTCACAGATGTCATTTTAGTTGTTTGTTTATTAATACATTTATTTTTTAATTAAGAGGGAAGCACATATTGATCTAATCAGTGTACCGCTGCTCAGACACTTCAACCTTCTGTTTATCCCTCAGCGAAGAACGAAGGAGAACTTTGCAGAGAGTATATCAGGGTTTTAACTCGTGCGCATCTAAGTAAAACATAGTTTGCTTTACAGGGCCCCCTGGTCTCTTGGGGCCCCTAAGTGGCCACTCATAGTTAGAAATGGCCCTGCTACTTATTATTGACACAAATTTGAATGTGTTTGGTCCATGAAGAGGACGGAAAGCATCAAATATATGCCTTTATATATCCTTAGTTATAAGTCAGGAGGGGTGTCATCGGGAATGAACCATGTGGAGACAAACACTTATAACATTCAGAGACTGCTGCATGTGAAAGGAAAATGGAAAGTGACTGGCACAGAGGTGAGCAAACTGTTTGTCTGAAAGGGATAGTTCACCCAAAAAAGAGAATTCTGTCATCATCTACTCAGCCGTAAGAATTTCGATCACCTTCAGAACACAGATGAAAATATTTTTAGAGGAATCTGAGAGATTTCTGCCCCTCCATTGACAGTCCATGCATCTACCACTTTGATGCTTCAAAGAGTTCGTAAAACCAGTCCACATTAATCGAGCGGTTTTAGTCCCAGTTTTCTGGAGAGACTTGATCGCTTTATATGATGAACAGATTTAATTTAATTTATTTTATTCACATATTTACATATTTAATTAAAAATATCTTCATTTGTTTTCCATTTTTGGGTGAACTATCCTTTTAAGTAGTGTCTTCTAGTACCACAGGTACCAAAATGGTCCCTAATGTGATTCTCAAGATACAAATTATCGAATGCACTGGCCAATTTGCAGGTGGAAATGAGCTGGAACAGCTTTGACACTGGGAGTGTCTTTCTGCTGGATCTCGGCAAGACCATTCTCCAGTGGAATGGCCCTGAAAGCAACAAACAAGAACGTCTGAAGGTATGAGTTACATGAGCGATCGTAAGGTTTTGGGTTCTTTTAGATCAGGGGTGCCCAACCCTGTTCTTGGAGATCTACGTTCCTACAGAGTTCAGCTCCAACCCTGATCAAACACAACAGAACCAAGATGCTTTTTTAACCTCTCTGTTCTCACAGATGTCATTTTAGTTGTTTGTTTATTAATACATTTATTTTTTAATTAAGAGGGAAGCACATATTGATCTAATCAGTGTACCGCTGCTCAGACACTTCAACCTTCTGTTTATCCCTCAGCGAAGAACGAAGGAGAACTTTGCAGAGAGTATATCAGGGTTTTAACTCGTGCGCATCTAAGTAAAACATAGTTTGCTTTACAGGGCCCCCTGGTCTCTTGGGGCCCCTAAGTGGCCACTCATAGTTAGAAATGGCCCTGCTACTTATTATTGACACAAATTTGAATGTGTTTGGTCCATGAAGAGGACGGAAAGCATCAAATATATGCCTTTATATATCCTTAGTTATAAGTCAGGAGGGGTGTCATCGGGAATGAACCATGTGGAGACAAACACTTATAACATTCAGAGACTGCTGCATGTGAAAGGAAAATGGAAAGTGACTGGCACAGAGGTGAGCAAACTGTTTGTCTGAAAGGGATAGTTCACCCAAAAAAGAGAATTCTGTCATCATCTACTCAGCCGTAAGAATTTCGATCACCTTCAGAACACAGATGAAAATATTTTTAGAGGAATCTGAGAGATTTCTGCCCCTCCATTGACAGTCCATGCATCTACCACTTTGATGCTTCAAAGAGTTCGTAAAACCAGTCCACATTAATCGAGCGGTTTTAGTCCCAGTTTTCTGGAGAGACTTGATCGCTTTATATGATGAACAGATTTAATTTAATTTATTTTATTCACATATTTACATATTTAATTAAAAATATCTTCATTTGTTTTCCATTTTTGGGTGAACTATCCTTTTAAGTAGTGTCTTCTAGTACCACAGGTACCAAAATGGTCCCTAATGTGATTCTCAAGATACAAATTATCGAATGCACTGGCCAATTTGCAGGTGGAAATGAGCTGGAACAGCTTTGACACTGGGAGTGTCTTTCTGCTGGATCTCGGCAAGACCATTCTCCAGTGGAATGGCCCTGAAAGCAACAAACAAGAACGTCTGAAGGTATGAGTTACATGAGCGATCGTAAGGTTTTGGGTTCTTTTAGATCAGGGGTGCCCAACCCTGTTCTTGGAGATCTACGTTCCTACAGAGTTCAGCTCCAACCCTGATCAAACACAACAGAACCAACTAATTAGGATCTGAAGGAGCACTTGATAATTACAGACAGCTGTGTTTCATCAGGGTTGGAACTGAACGCTGCAGGAAGGTAGATCTCCAGGAACAGGGTTGGGCACCCCTGTTTTAGATCGTAATGTCATGCTGCTCCTTGTTGACTGTAAGGGCATGATGCTGGCCAAGGACATCAGGGATCGTGAGAGAGGGGGTAGGCCAGAAATCGGCGTGATTGAGGGGGATGCAGAGGCAAACTCCCCGTCATCAATGGAAGTGATGGTGAGCATTTTGGGTGAACGGCCCTCTAAACTGCCCAGTGGGACTCCGGATGAAATAACTGACCAGGAGCAAATGTCTAAGCTCACCCTCTATCAGTAAGTGCTGTCAGTTCCAAGTTTACGTCTTACATGCTAGCTGTTTGTATTAACTAACATGTCGTTTGATTGAATAATCGGCTCACCTGATGTTCACGGGGTACTAGTTAGAATGTCTACCAATCCTCTAACAAACCTTGAACTTTGCAGTGTGTCGGACACTAATGGAGCTATGAATATCACAGAGATTGCAACCAGTCCACTTACACAGGACATGCTGAATCACGATGTAAGTGGTAATTTGTGTAAAATGCATTATTAATTTACTCCCATTAGACCATTGCAAGTCAATCCAAAATATAAATAAATATCATTTGATCAAATATTTACTTTCATGCAGTTGTGTTCATTTGTATTTAATTTGTTGGTCAGAAAGTAAGTTCGCAAAAATTTCTAAAGTATAGAAACCTTTTGATGAAAAAGGTTTGCACAGCTGTCACAGACCCTTTGAGAGATAATATTTGCATGTGAGTTAATTAGAAATTATATTCATTACCTTAAAATCCATTTCCACAAATGAATACATTCACATAAAAATTGTGTAAGGCATCTCTGCACTCGCCTCTGAGAATCATAGTTAACTACATGTCACACCGTGGCACACTAAACCGATAAATATAAAGGCCTAGACTTTATTATTATGAATATATATCATATGTCAGAAAAAAAAAAATCAAAAGGAGTAGACTAATGCTGTCACAATCTGCTCCACAAAGAACCAGAAGGAATCCATTCAAATAGTAGAGTTACTTTAATTACACCACACAAAAGATGAGTAGCGAAGTAAAATGTGTATTAAAACACAACCAACACCAGACGATGAACAGAAAGAGCTGAAGGGGCTTAAATACACAGGCAAACAAACTCAGGCGTGCTCTAATTAGTAACAATGAATAATCATGACAACTGATGATAGGTAGGAACAAGTAAAAAAAAAAAACAGACCATCCATAAAACCATAAAATCCATAAAAATTAAACTGAAACAATAACAGAACGTGACAAATGCACAACATTTCTGACCCTGATTACTACATTTGCAACACATTTTAATATCATTTATGTAGTGTATATAAATATACTACGAAGATATAATATGTTATTTAGTAGTATTTCAGTTAATGGAAAATGGAGCATTCATTCATTCACTAATTCATTAATTTATTTGGTCGCACTTTATATTAGGTGGCCTTAACTACTATTTATAAAACGGAGAGTTCCGGTCCTTGATTCTGATTGGCTGAGCCGCGTTCGAAGCTGTTGTAAATTACTCTACAAACATACACCTTTGTTTACGTTTGTCTGTTGCTCGGCAACCACTTTGTTGCAACCACAACTGTTTCTGAGGGGCTACATTGTTTGGTGAAAGAATACTGTTTTTATTAATATCATTACACATTATTTGCTCTGTTTTATTTTGTGAAACCTTACTACGTATATGGATAAGCCCCATGAAGCCGTGGTTTAAAGTGAATTTATAACAGCTAAGGGGGTTTTAACAACGCCCCTTAGCTGTTATAAATTCACTGTAAACCATGGCTGCTTGGGGCTTATTGCTTTAGTACTTACATCAAAGAATAAGTACAATGTACTTAATGTGTTCATATTGTATTGCAAAATACTTTTGCTGCTATTGTGGTGGGATATGGGTAAGTTTAAGAACAGGTTTGGTGGTATGGTTAGGTGTAAGGGATGGGTCAACAGTGTAATTATAAATGTAATTACAGAAATTAATTACAGATTTAATTACATATAGGTATTTTTAAAAATATAAGTATGTACTCAATAAGTGCATTGTATCAAATGATTAATTTGAATGTAAGTACATAGTAGTTAAGGCCACCTAATATAAAGTGGGACCATTTATTTATTTCAGGACTGCTACATTTTGGACCAGGGGGGGATGTCAATATTTGTGTGGAAGGGAAAGACAGCCAACAAAGCAGAGAGACAAGCAGCAATGACCAGGGCTCTGGTGAGTTTCTGTTTCTGTTTCTGTCTTCTCCAGATGTTAACTGATGGACTGGAGTGCTGTGGATTACTTGTGATGTTTTTATCAGCTGTCATCACTTGAATTAAAGTTTGATTTACTTACAAATGTTATTAATTTGACAGGAGTTCATTAAAATGAAGGGTTACCCACTCACTACTAAAGTGGAGGCTATCAGTGACGGAGGAGAATCGGCTCTCTTCAAACAACTCTTCAAGAGCTGGACTGTCAGAGAGCAGACAGCAGGTCTGGGCCGGACACACACTGTAGGGAGAGTGGGTACGTGTCTGATGCCATGCCTATTTTGAGACGTATGCTTTATTGACTGTTTTTTCAGCTGAAAGTCACCAGTGTATTTTGTAGAGAAGTGTGAAGTTGTTATATTTGGAGACCATTGTGAGGCTTGTTTTTACTGTAGTCTGTAGCTGTAGCCATGATGCTGATTTTAGATAGCTGTGATGATGAACAGAATAAGAATGACTGCATGCTGGTCCATAAGCTCTGCTCTGTTCTTTCATTAATTAGCTGATGTCACTCAAGAGAAGTTTGATGCCGCTAGGATGCATGTGATGCCTGATGTTGCTGCACAGGAGCGCTTGGTGGACGATGGCAGCGGACAAAAGCAGGTAAGGAGGAGATGAGTTATTATTATTATTATTATTATTATTATTATTATTAAAGAAGTAATGTTATTGGTGCAGATGTGAAAAACAGCACATACCTATGAATCAGGATGTAATATACACATAGAGATAATTGAGATAACATTGCAATAATTGACAGAAAATGGAAAAAAAAAGAACATGCATGAGAAAAAGTCATCTTGAAAGACTTCTCCGTCCTTAGGTGTGGCGCATTGAGAATTTGGAGATGGTGGAGGTGGAACCTGAAATGCATGGATACTTCTATGGAGGCGACTGCTATCTGATTCTGTACAGCTATGATGTTAATGGCAGGAACAGCTACATTCTTTACATGTGGAAGGTAGAGTGACATATTTCCTTTATCTATGTAGAAGAGAGTTTTATGGCACTAAGGGTTGTTGATCATTTTACCACCCACCAAAAAAGTCATATGAGCATGTGAGAAAGTGTAACATCCAATCATGTGATGTTCACACAATGTAATTATAAACCCAGAAAACAAAAGTAGTGTAAACAAATCCCTGTCTTCTATGATTATGCACCTCAAACATATATTTGAAAATGTAGTTTTAGTGCTTCACGCCCTTTAAACAAACATCTACAGAATATTTTTACTTTCGTGTCTTGCTGCCAGAACATTTGTTATTGCCTTATATGTATTACAGCATCAAATGTTATTTTCTCTTTTGACACTTGTACAACTGTTAAATCTACACAGTACGGGTGAACCCAGTAAGCTTTAAAGGGGTCATCGGATGCTACATGCACTTTTACATGTTGTTTGAACATAAATGTGTGTTGGCAGTGTGTGTACACAACCACCCTATAATGATAAAAATCCACCCAGTGTTTTTTTTTTATCTACTAAAATCTTT